GTCAACTCAGGCCATAGGCGGTTATTCTTACTTCATTACATTCACTGATGACTTCTCTAAGTATAGACATGTGTACTTGATGAAATACAAGTCCGAGACCTTCGAGAAATTTAGGGAATATAAGAATGAGGTAGAAAACCAAACTGGAAAGAGTATCAAAACTCTTTGATCAGATCGAGGAGGTGAGTACTTGAGTACAGAGTTCACCCAATTCTTTAAAGACTATGGGATCTTGTCTCAATGGACCCCTTTTTATACACCTCAGCTCAATGGTATATCGAAAAGAAAGAATCACACGCTATTAGACATGATGCAGCTCATGATGAGTTTCACCGACCTACCTGTCTCATTCTAGGGATACGCCCTAGAGTCCACAGCTTACCTTCTAAACAGAATTCCAACTAAATCGGTAGTGCCTACACCATATAAGATATAAAAAGGGAAGAAGCTCGATCTTAATGTTGTTAAGATTTAGAGTTGCCCTGCCTATGTTAGGAGACACAACCCCAACAAGTTGGAATCAAGGACAAAATGGTGCAAGTTCATGAGATACCCCAAGAAAACTTGTGGATATTATTTCTATCACCCCGAGGACCAAAAGGTCTTTGTTGCTAAGAGGACAGTGTTCCTTGAGAAGGAACACATTCTTAGTGAAAACAGTGACAACGTGATAGAGTTGAACGAGGTAGGAGAACCTAACTCGAGCACCATTCTGTAGGCCGAGTCTATTTAGGTACCTAGCATACAAGTTCCAACTTTGCATAGGTCCGACAGAATACCCCCCTCCTGAGAGATATATGGGACATATCAGAGGAGAAGACATTGAGGATGTTAATCCTCAGACCTACGATAAGGCTATTACGAGTATAGACTCCAAGACGTGGCTAGAGGCCATAAGTTTCGAGATGGATTCTATGTACTCCAACATAGTTTAAAACCTAGTTGATGCACCTGAGAGTATTGTACTCATTGGTTACAAGTGGATCTTCAAGAAGATCGGAGTAGATGGAAAGGTAGAGACCTATAAGACTAGGCTAGTAGCAAAAGGGCATCGTCAAAGTCAAAGTTTTGACAATAACGAAACCTTCTCACTCGTAGCCATGCTGAAATCCATTCGAATTCTGTTAACCATTACAGAACACCATAATTATGAGATCTGGAAGATGGACGTGAAAACCGCACTCCTCCATGGCAATCTCGAGGAGGTGTATATGATACAGCCATAGGGATTCGTGTCCAAAAAAAGTCCAGATAAAGTGTGCAGATTGCTTAAATTCATCTATGAACTAAAGGAAGCTTTCCGAAGTTAAAACATAAGATTTGATAAGACAATCAAATCTTATAACTTCGTTGAGAACGAAGATGAGCTTTGTGTGTATAGAAAGGTAAATGGGAGCGTTATCACCTTCTTGGTGCTATATGTGAATGACATCTTAATCATTAGGAATGATATAGGAATGCTCTCCACAGTTAAAACTTAGTTATCTAAAAACTTCTCTATGAAGGACCTAAGAGAAGCATCCTATATTTTAGGAATTCGGATCCATAGAAATAAATCTAAGAGGATACTTGGCTTGTCCCAATCCCAGTACATAGACATCATTATCAAAAAATTTGACATGGAAAATTCCAAAAAAGGCCTCATACCAATGAGACATGAAATATCACTTTTTAAGAATATGTTCCAAAAGACTTCTGAAGAAAGGGCACACATGGATAGGATACCCAATGCCTCTGCGATAAAATATATCATGTATGCTATGCTATATACCAGGCCTGATATAGCGTATGCTCTCACTGAATCAAAAAGAGTTTTGAGTCAGAAGAGGTTCTGACAGGTGCAACTCACGGCCAGCTCGGTTTTGGGCCTAAAGAGTCACATATATATGGTGGATGACGCGACGAATAGAGGATTGAATATGTGATATCCAATAAGCCCTTATTTTATTGAATCCGTTGAGTGACCCAATAAAAGTTTAAAGTGGATAATTGGATAGAGATCCAATTTCCATTAAGCTAGCGATTATTGGATGGAGATCCAATATCCAATATACTAGGGTAATTGAATGGTGATCCAATACCTACTAGAGCAAGATTCATTAGGGTTAGCAAAAAGAGCTCTCTATAAAAGGGATATGGGACTAAAAGGGTTACAAGGCTAGACCTCATAGCTGTCACCTCCAAGACTTCTCTCCCTGATTCTTCCTCAACAAACTACCCCCCTCTCTGATGCGAGATGGCAGCAAGGATTGCCTCTACTGCGTGGTGTGGTGTGCAAAAGTGAGAAAAGAACGCATCATGAGAGGAGGTGTGTCGTCACCTCATTTGTCATGTGGATCACCATTAGAGAGGAGAACACGAGATCACATTCATCCACAAACTGGGATCTGCAAATCAAGAATATACAAGTTCCCTTAAGTGAGAGTGTCTCACGAATCTCATGTAATTTTCGATTTCACGAGTTTTTCGCTCCCTATCATCGCACACGATTCGATATAAATCTGTTTTGAGGAAAATGATTTTTGTTCTATTTTTTCGTTGCGCATGCGATGGTCTCCAAGGTTTCCCAACAAGGAGGACCAGGATATGGAAGAGGAGAGAACAGGACAAGAGAGGGGAGCAGAGGAGAGAATAAGAAGAGGAAAGGGAAAGAGAAGAGAGAACAGGAGGGAAGAGAAAGGAAGAGAGAGAACAGAATGAAGAATACCAAAGGAGCAATAAAGCACATGTAGGAAGTGAAGAGGCGAGGGCTCGATACCTTGTTGCACAAGAAGTATATTCTTTTTTCTTTTTTTTGGCCTTTTATATAAGCACTATTGAGGGAACTCAAAAAACTCAAGCCAACACATATGGGTCAACCAATTTTTACAACCTAAGCCCATCAGCAATCAGGTTCAGTAACTAGGCTAACTCCAAGCTGGATATAGGTTGCAAGATCGTGCAATTTTAAGGTCTAAATCATGTTTACAATACCCATGGGAATCATCAACAATCAGAGATATGTGTCAATCAAAGATAAAAACAACTTTAAGGTGTATCTGAGATCCAATAGAGATAGAAACTACTAAAGGCACTTCGGTGATCATTACAGATGATATTGCCCATTATAGAGCACAACAACGACAAGATTCCTTCTTTAAGGAAATAGTTTAGAGATTTGAACCCTATTTACTCACAAACTGCATCAATGTCCCAGGAGTTGGGACACCTAGAGGGATAAAACCAACCTCAATAACTATTAATAACTCCTATGTGGTAACTATCACTTTCATAGTTAAACAATCATAGAATTAGAAAAAATATATTTACAAAAGGAATTCTCATAGAATAGGTGCATATTATGATGTCTTACAAAGAAAAGAGTTAGCCAAACATTTTTCTCTAACATTAAAATCTTCAAAAGAGCAAATGTTTCATAACAAAACATGATTCCATCAAACGCGTTTCCAGTCCTTTTTAACTACTATGCACACATGCAATGAGCATACATGAAACGATGCTATGATAAGTCACATGTAATCACATTATCTTAATTTTGCATTATGAATCGGCGAAGTAATTCTCTTACCACATAGAGAAATTCTATCTTCAATGGAGACAAAGGTTAGAAATTAGAGGCATTGAGTTAATTAACACTAAGACCAAAAATAGAAATACAATTTGAGAATTGCTAAGAGATAAATTAAGGTTGTAATTACCATAGACGATTATGGAGTTTTTGTAAGCAAAAATTTTAAAAATCTTAGATCTGTTATTCTCCAAGAATAAGATTGATGATGACACTTTTTGATAATAATGAAAATTTTATAGTTAAAGTAGGGAGAGCTGTTGGGCGATTTGTGTGATCATCATTTGTTCCTTCAAATTACAAGATAGTTGTATGCTTTATGAACCATCATGTTAGATATTGTTGGAAACAACACTCATGAAAGGTTAGTGTAGTCGAGATAATATTCTAGAAATAAAAATGTGTGGTTACTAGAAAAATATAGAATAAAAATGTTTTCATTTGCAAAAAAATTAATGTAGAATAGTGAATAACATAAGAAATTTTAATTTAAAATGACATGGACATGTTCAAAAAAAATCTACAACGTAAAGCCGAGATGAGAATGTTAGGAGGTTGTGTGGAATTCATGAAAATGATAGACTGCAATGTTTTCACTACAAACAATTTGATGTAGCTCCAATAAAGAATAAAACAAAAAAATTAAAATGGTATATACATGTTCAACAGAAATTTACATACGAAATTATTAAAGGAGCTACATTAGTTAAATTAGTAGAAGAAGAAAGGTAAAAGAAAGCCCAGTGGTGAAGATAATACACTTAATAGGGATAATACACTTAAAAAGAGATTTTGGAAAACAATAAAAAGAGATTTAACTACTATTGATTTAAATAGGGATAATACACTTATTCAAAGCTCAGTGGTGAAGATAGATTCATGCAAATGATCCAAAAATGGTGACGACTTGAGACATTAGAGGTGGTTGATATTATGTTCGCTTCTAATAATAAGCTAAATCGGTTCATGCAGTTGGATAAAACAATGTTTATCAATGATCAGGCCACTATTACTAAAAGATACATCTTTTTCAGGACCTCAGGCATAAAACATAAATCAGAATCAAGGAAGTAAAAATCAAAAAAAAAAAAACATTGTTTATCCAAACAAAATTATGCTAGATGTCAGTTGAAAAATGTATACAAAGTCCATGTACTGAAACATTATTAATATATATGTATATATATATATATACATATATATTATTAAATATCATTAGCATGTGGAAAAGGACTATTAAGAAGAGATCTATGCAACAGTGTGTCGAAAATTTAACTAGCCAACCAAAAGTTCATAGCTATACCCACCAGTTTCTTGTTTAGCTTTACCAGAGTTTTGAATATATTTACCTATTTAAAGAAAGCATGCACAAAAAAGAAGAAAAAATCAAGGATGAGAATCAAGATGTAAAAGAATTCACATATACCATTACCTTTTTGTTGAGCGGGCAATTCTCCGTCTGATTTTTCACCCATCCTGGTAGTTCTAAACACTAAACCATCCAGTTTTGCTGACACCCAACTTGGCGCATCATTAAGCCATAATGCTTTCTGAGTCTCATTGTGCTTAAAATCTGGGAAGTTGGGGTGCAACTGCGTAGCAGGATGAGTAAATTATTAGTTATGACAAATTTCTTCGAAAGAGTGCTAAATGGCATAATATGATTGAAAAAGTAGGCACCGATCCTTTCTTCTTAGCCAGCCGATTATCCAACCAATTGTGTGGATTGAGAACAAGATCATCCCATAGGTTTTCAGCAGACTTCTCCATTTTCTTGACACTTTCTGAAGGAGACAATTTCTAGCATTAGGATTTGATCTGAGCAGAGTTCCATTTGAAATTTACAACAGTCACTAAGAAAAACTACCAATATTTATGTCCTTTCTTGAGTTTTTTCTTAATCAAGTGAAAAATCAAATAAACATGAAAAAGGAAATTCTAAATTTATTCTTAAATATAGCGATTTAAATGACAAAACTTAATTCCCTAGTTTATTCAAAAAATCATGAACAAGAAGATGCATCCATGTAAAAGAGCATATCAACTCTTCTAATCCACAAGCATAGTTGATATGCAGCAGTAACATACTGTACAACTGAAAGGATATATTACATACTGTACAACTGTAAGGATATATTATATATCGTAGCACCTTTATAGGATACTAAAATTCAATATAAGCATGATACTTCACATACAACCTTCTCAAAATCCTTGACCTTGAGCACTCCCACTGAAGAACTAGATCAAGTGGTGTTGTAGTCAATATATTACTTCAACCACACCCCTTCACATGATGCTCAGGTTACTTATTACTAATCCATGGTTCCACCATTCGGCACGGTCAAGAGGCACAACCTCCATTTGCAGAGGCTAAAATTATTTTGCGAGGTCATAAGCACCCACAACTTAATCAAGTCTTTCAAGAAGCAACGGAATCTTTATGTGACAACTGGTCTGACCAAATCAAGATGGGTATCATAAATTTCCACAAAAGGATCATCTTCCACAACAGATCTACATATTATAAGCTTTGTCTAATCCTGACACTAATTTCGAGGCAAGTGAACAACTAATGGACACATCTTTGTGTGTTTTTTTAACACCATGAACAACCCATTATAAAGACATAATGATGAATATTAATGACATCCCACAGTCCCAGTGGTGAAGGCACTAAGCATCAACATTTTGTTGATAATCATCAATATTGGGTGAATGCAACCTGAAATTGCCATGGGGGAGGCTCCCACAACTAGGTGTCAGAATGAACGATACATTTACCATTTTGCTAGATTATCTGATGGGAAAACCTTATGGAAGCACAATCTATCCTCTGAATTTATTGTGGTCACAGAACCATAATGCATATCCTGCATTAGGATGACACTTTAAAAGAGGTTGCACATGGACTAGGTGTACCACCTTATATGCACTGCTAGGGTAGAGATCCATCCCTTTTTGCTAGATTATCTGATGAGAAGACCTTAGAGAAGCACAATCTATCCTCCAAAATCATTGTGGTTGTAGAACCATTATGCATATCCTACATTAGACTGACACAAGAAAAAAGATGGCACATGGACCAGGTGTACCACCTTATATGCACTGCTAGGGTAGAGTTCCATTAGGGATTCACTAATATGAAGATATCCAAGTACTTCCTCCATATAAATGACCAGTGATAGAACACTCAGATGTCCGAAGAACTTCATATGACATGTGAAGTTTTCATTGTTTTTAAACTTTGAAACATTAATAGATATCATATCATTTGTCTGATGTCGTCAATTACTACCTCAACCATGCCTACCAATACCAGTACTACCTACCAATGGATGATAACTTGGTTGTCATTCACAATGTCAGAACTAAGTTATACCTAGATTTCTCAAGTACAACTCATTCAGTTAGTGAGGTATAGGAATACTTTATTGTTTTTTGTATACTTTCAATTTAAACACTTAAACAACCAACTTATTACATATGTTTCCTTCAAGGGTAACTATTTAAAGCCTATTTCACATTCAGTATTAACTGTCATGACAATATTATCAATGGATTCTTCATCAATATAATATAGATAACCAACCAACATACTTTACACACCTTCACCCACCTCCAATCTAGCATAACAAACCTTTTAATACTGGTAGCCATAGAACCTTTTAAGTACGTGCATATACAAGTTTTAGAACTATAGATTTGTAATGCATGTATCATGTACAAATTTCATGCACTTTTAAAAGTTCTATAGAGATGTTCTTGACATATAGTCTATCTTACGTTTTTAAAAATATATTCATTCGTTATCGAGTGCAAAAAACTAATAACAAGGTTTCATAGGGATCTATTGGGTCTGAGATCAGTATTAATTGGTTCAACTGGTACCAAACAATACCATGACTAGCAAAGATTCTAGTTTTGTCCATGAGATCAGTATTATATTTACCAATCCAAGCCAAGCATGTTCATGCAATATGACGATACAAAAAAACCACTCAACAACCAGCACCAAGTTGTGTAAAGGAGTAAGCCTACTGCCCGCTATAAAAATAAACCCGAGCTTCCTCTAAAGCACCATTTGTATCACTACCCATCGTCCATGGCATCACCTTGAGAATAAAAATACTCGCCTTTAATTGCAGCTGCCTCGTCCACATCACTTTCTTGACTAGCGAAGGGTTCGCCCTTGGGTGTCGCCACATTGGCCATGTCTTCTCCTTAGTTGACAACCTCCTTCCCTCCACCACAACCTGTAAGGCCCTCATCCTCAAGCATCATCGCCTAGTCCACAACCCAGTCGGCCAACAACCTGACCTGCCTCCACCATAAGTGTAGTTTTATCTCTCTACTCTTAAGGCTGTAGGCGTCTCCACTAGTAACCGCCAATACCAAACCATACTGACACTCGAATACATTAGGTATATCGGCATCATGCTGGTCTGAGACCACTGACTGATACTGATACTGATAAAGATTTTAATCCTTGGTATCCAAAAATAGAGATAATGGATCAATACTTCAAAGTTTGCTACATACATCTCTTGTCCGACATGTTATGTACAAGAAAAGGAACTACCAATGTTAATTTTTTTATTATAATGGCATTAGTGAGGCCCTTCGAGTTGTTTATCTTTTAGTATCAAAAGATCAACTATCACATTTTCATCTTTCTAAATATGCATGGAAGTTGTCATATATTGGATTCCTCAACAATATTTAAGGTTTATTACACCACATGGAAACTCAATCTTGTAACACAATAACTCTTCAAGCCCAGGTTTAGTTATTTTATACTTAAGGGCATAAGCTTACTATTTAAATATTTTTGGAATCTACTTAGATTTGAGTATATGATTCAATAAGATCCATTTTTCTTTTGGTTTGTCTAAACTTCAAGTATTCAATAAACATATGCTATCAATAAAAGACATTTTCTTTTGGTTTGTCTAAACTCCATTTATTCATTAAACCTATTAGATTCAATTCATTTTCTACAAGTAGAATAGAAGCTATGGAATGTGTGCTTTCCAATAAAAACCCCAAAACATTTGTTGGGCCTCTAACCAGTAGGAGATAGCAACCATGAGAATAGATGAAGAAAATTATAAAAAAAGGTTACAGCATGACCACACGAATGACCATTTGAAAACAAAATGTTACTTACTATGGTTATTGAAAACAATGGCCATATGTTGTCTTTGATGCCCATCCCAGTGTCGTTTTCCTGTTTTAAACAGAAAACTAAATATATAATATGACATTATAATGTTATGTTCATAATGCAATTTTGATAAACATGGAATCCACATCCAAATTAAGTTGAAGTAAATGCTTGTACAAAAATGTTTCTAATAAAACATTAATGACTTGTGCTACACAAACTAACCAGGTGTCTGAATGGAGCTTATTAGGAGGATATCATGAACATTTGATGTTAAAGAGGACCCATCTCTAGTAAAGAGGCACTTGAATCAAGCATATGATGTTGCAAAGCAAGGACACCATCTCTATAAAGACAACGGTCCAATGCTTGTAAACATAATAACTTGTTAATTGAACCCATATCACAAACTTGAGCTGTAGAGTCGTTGATCTCATTTTTGTAGTTAGTCATGAGATCTACACAGAGGCTATACAGAAGAATCTCCTTTCTTCACAAGATCTACACAAAGGCGTCTTCCATTTAGACAGTAGATAAGATTTTTTACCCTTGAAAACATTTTGGATAATTTCTTATTTAAGAGGCAAGCCTTGGCAACATGATAAATTGCTGCTTTGCAACATGATGACTGGAGTTCAAGATGTGAAAACCTCCTCTTCACTCACAAGAGTAAAGCCTTCTACACTAACTCTACTTAGACTGCATTGGCAAATCTTTGATTACTTGCAAAGCAGCACAATACAGGATGAAGACATATAAAAATAGAAAATATGACTAATGCCAAGTGGCCAAGAAAAAAAATTTCATTTATAAAAAATCAAAAATCAATATTTTTTAAATTTTTCCAAAGATGTATTTTATTTAATAAAAAGTACTTGTTAGTGATTCACTCACAATACTCTTTAAAAGGAAAAAATAAAGACAAATTATAGATAAGTTTAGTTTATATAGGTTGCATTTGGGAACATATTTGAAATGTTAATTGAGGGCTCAATGAATATTTTAAATGTGAATTGGTATTTAATAAATTCTTTCCAAATCGCATCAGGCCTGGATGCTACATTGGAAATGCTCAAAATTTTAGCGCTATCTTAGGGTAGCATCAGCAATTCAACATTTGTAGGGTGTAATATAATTTTTTAAATTCTGAAAATATCCTATGAGTTTATCTAAAATTACAAGATTGCCAAAATGATTTAATGAGAAACCAATATGATTTATATTTTTTATAGGTCAAAATTTATTTATTTATTTTTAAAAATTATTTTATATTTATTTATACTATTATATTTTTATTTATTATATATTTAGGCCATATGAAATTTTTATAATATTTTATTTAATTATTTATTTATTTTTAATTTAAATAAAAAAAATATGTATTCACTTTTGAATAAATATTAAAAATATTAGAAGGGTCAATTTGCCATAAAAAATTTGATGGGCTTTTAAAATACAATTTTACCAAACAAAACCTATGTCAATTCACATGTAAAATATAATTTTTATATATTGTTTATCAAGCACTCAAAGCATTCCACAACTACACATTCATTCAAGCTCTTTCTTTAATTGCACATTAAAAATAGAAATGTATTCCCAAACACAGCCATAATAGTTTTAGCTCATTAGGCTCTTTTCCAAAGCAACTTTTATTAAGTCTTTCCTTGAAAAATCTTGTTCTATCTTATAATGATTGAAATATCGTACCGTATCGGAGTTTCGACATTCGCTCGTTACGGTACGATATTGTATACCGAGCGATATACCATTCGGTATACCACTCAGTGTGTGTGTATATATATATATATATATATAATTTGACAATGTCACCTCTCTCTTCTCTCAACGAGATGACATCGCCTTTTCCTTCTCCCACGCATGGCGACGTCGTCTTTTATAAAAATATTTATATATATATATATATATATATATTCCGTCCGGTAATGGGCGGCCCGTGTACCAGTCAGCTGACGGACTAGTACGTACCGCCCAGTATTATTCAAAACTGCATACCTAGTATCTTGTAAATGGTGCAATTCGCCTCCTTTCAACCACTAGTCACTTCACCATCCAGATACCTATCAAAAAATAATGGACACAACTCAAACAAAAGAGTCAACCTACTAAAATTTATCCTCCTCTTGGTTGCCCAACATCACACTCATGATCATTTGAAGTACTTTAATAGTTTAATAGGTTCTTTTTCTTGATCTTGAGCACTTGATGAATTAATATGTTCAAAACTAACATGCAGAGCCCATTGTCACATAAATGCCCTCAACTCAATGCCGTTCTTTTCAGCAATTTACTCTAAGTTAAAAGAATCCTGTATGCAAGCAGGGAATGAGAATGGATGTCCAAATGTGTCAAAATTCAAATTGTGACTCATTGCTCATCTATTCTCCCTTCTCTGTATTCCTCTTTCTAATCTCTCTGTCAACTACGAGGGGGAGCTGAAGAGAAGAGAAGCAGAAAACAATGATAATTTGATGTAACCAATCCCAAAAGATATAATATTCAATGATCATACAGCAAATAATACTTGTAACGAGACTCCTGTAGAACTTAAAACCCCCAAGTAAACTAGGAAGATGTTAGGACCCTTTTTATGAGCTTTTGAATAATGTTTATTGAGTCTGTTTAGTCCAGTATTTTATTGAGTCGGTTTGGTTCAGTTAGAGTCGAGTAGAGGTTTATTTAATATTTATTTATTATTAGAGTTCAAGTCCTGATGGACTTTGGGTGGAACTCTATAAATAGGGATGTAACTGCTTCTTTTCAATAATCTATGAAAAATACTATTCTGTCTTTTGACAAACCCTAGGATGCTAATCCCCTCGAAGTGATCAAGGAGGGCCGATCCCCTCGAAGTGATCATTATCATCCCCATTTCTCCCCTTTCTTCGACGATAAGGCTTTAGGTTCTTATCATTTGGTATCAGAGCGGCGATCCTTAGCGTTCTCGCTGCCGTAGCTAT